GCTTGCAGAAGTGAGTCACTCTTAGGTTGGCATATCTACACAGCATAAAGGAGTACACATTATTCATAGAAGAAAAATATAAGGCAAATCCTTTCATACATTTGCAAACTGAAGAAACAGCAGAGAGGTTATTTTGATCAATTTTCCTAAAAATCTCAGATTGACATAAACAGCAGACAGACTATCAACCCCTCAACCACTCAGGGAAAAGAAGCTCCAGCTTGCATGATACTTCAATATCTCAAACACTATACTCATCTCCCCCCATGGAAGACAAGGTCTGTATATGGAAAACAAAATTAGGCTTCCTAAAAATCCACATTACAAATCTAATCTTAACTCTGTCATACCAACTTTTTTTAAAAACCAGTACCAGCAGAACCATACCTGTTTGAACAATAGGGGCAAGTCTTCAGCTTTTTCAGGAATGTCATTATTTGCTACAGCATAATCAATACCTCTGTATATTTCAAGGGAAATCTAGTTAAATACAAAATATCTACACAACTAAAATAATATATAGTGCCACATAAAATCTTATAATATCCATTCCTCTTCAATTAGCTACCCTGGTGAATACCGACAAGCATAAACCTCCATAAATTTTTGAGAAAAGCTTGTCAAGTTTGTTAAGAGAATAGGAGTGCTGTCCAGAGATAGAAGCCCAATCTACCTGGCTTTAGGCCCGCCACTTTGAAGCCCCCACAAATATGTTTTTTTAGGTACATCTAGTTACAGGTTATGCGACAAATCGGTCCTCTTCTTTACAAATCTCTCACTCTCTCTCAAAATTTTGAACTAAAGTCCTTTAAGTATGGATTTAGGTTCTTGTTCATTGAAACATCTAAAAAATGGCCTTCACATTTCATTTCTCAACATAAGCATTCCTTCCGAGAAAAGGAATTGCACTTCAAATCTTAAACTCTAAACACACGAGACAAAAGCTTTCACCTTTTTCCCTGTAAAAACTGCTAATACCCATACCTGTTTTCATAGAAGTTGTGGACTGTCTGGTTAGAAAGAAAAGGAAGATGAATATGCATGGCTCTGAAAATAAAAATAGGGAACCTGCGCCAGTTGCGATTCAACAATTGAGGTCACAGTTCAATTTTATATGATTAAAGAAGAAACAACAAAAATGACCTTCCAGTTACAATTCATAACTTGATGCCTCAGCTCTTCTGGCATTGTTGTCCGTTGGAAGTAATTTTTTACTGTAAACTTCTTTTGTTTGAAGAGCCTACCACTGTGTTGAAGCTATGGCAGGCGGCGTAAGTTGATTCGATTCTGGACAGCTTGAAAATGAAATGGAGAACAGAGCAACCCCGTGTGCACTTTAGATCTTATCATTCACACCTTTGGAGACTGATTAACCCCTCCCACCCTGAAAGAGAAGTTAAAACTTAAAAGGTCAAACTGATTGAACTCTTCTCAAGTATTCACATGTTCCCATCCAATGATTTAGTAGCAGCTTATCAGACAGGTCAGCCAGGTCCAGAAAAGTAAACTTATTA